GGCATATTCACTAGATCAAATTATTGTGGTGGTCATAACCCCCCTGCTAATTACGCCCATGATGAATAAGGTATGTTACCTATGTTCTCTCAGGGTTAATAATAAAAGTCACAGATGCTTGGCTCCTCCTTTAAATGTCTTTTAATACAAATGAAAAAATGTTGAATTACAATGCAGGCATTGTGTCACAACATGAGCAACATCTGGGGTCACCCCTCACTGGTGCAATGCTCACACTGTAACTCAGTATTTATCTTTTATGACTTTCATTATTAATCCCAAGAGAACATACAGCAGGTACGTCCACCAAGAAACATTAAAGTATATGATGCAACTTATTTTTAAATTTTRCATTTAACTAATCCTCATTTATATTTAAGACATGTCTGACACATTTTTATAATGTAATTTTGACAATTACAAATAAAACTTATCTGCAGAGAGAGGACATGATGACATACCTGTTGGATTTCAGGAATGGGTAGGAMCCCCTGCGTCAGCCCACCCTTCAGCACAGCGACTGCATTTTCATATAAAGTCTTTAAAGACCTGAACTGTGTCGTGACCAGTGCACAAATACAAGTCTGTCAGAATCATACAGCCACATGACCTGCAATCATCACTTAGAAAGCTCGAGTCAGTTTTCCAACTCTGGGACCTCCATGGAGCAGCGCGAGGCTTCCCGGCTCCGCGGCTGAGCCACAGCCCGACTCAATGCGCCTCTGCCGCGGGGAGCATGTCAGCGCAGGCAGGTGCGGACGGCAGGCGAACGAGTCTCACTTTAAACAGCAGGAGGTTCACTTTCATTTAGGAGATTTATCTATTTTTTTAAACCCTGGGAGTGGTACAGTAACAAAGGGATGTGGAGACCCGCGCGAGCCCGGCTCTTTGATGTCGTTTCCGTGCCGCTGGTCGTGGCAGTGATGTGCTGCGCCCAGAGGTGAGCTCAGACCCGGACAGCAGCCTGCCTCCCTGCCTGCACCCACACTCAGTCTCTTCTTCTCCTCTTCTTCTCCCTTTCAGCGTCAACGAACCGGGGAACATGTCTTTTGTCAAAGAGACTGTGGACAAACTGCTGAAAGGATACGATATCCGTCTCCGGCCGGACTTCGGAGGTATTCTACCCTAAAGTCTTCTACAAGTGTTATATAAACTGATTTTTATCACAGCTTGTTTTGTCTGAAGGTCCACCGGTGGCTGTTGGGATGAGTATGGATGTGGCGAGTATAGACATGGTGTCAGAAGTGAACATGGTGAGTTCTGTACACATTTCATTTCATAGAAATTGTTCTAATTTTTGTTTGGGTTGCCAGGTTGTGAAAAATCATTTAAACTAGTCCTGAAAACAAAGTTATACTCTTTTAACCAATCCAGCCTGTGTTTACTACTATGTGTACTACTTATATWATAATGGCACTTAGTTTAAAATTATGTTTCTTAACTTCTTCGTGCTCTGTAGATCTTTAATTGAGCCTAAAAAGTAGGGATGTCTGATAATATCGGCCTACAGAGATTATCGGTGTGATAATTAGCATAAAAATGTAAAATATCTACATACAGCGGGTAAAATAAGTATTGAACAAGTCAACATTTTTCTCAGTAAATATATTACTAGAGGTGCTAATGACATGAAATTTTCACCAGATGTYGGTAACAACCCAAGTGATCCATACATACAAAGAAATCAAACCATAAATGTCCAGAAATGAAGTTCTTTGTAATAATGTGGAATGGCACAGGGAAAAAGTATTGAACACATGAAGAAAGGGAGGTGTAAAAAGGCATGGAAAGCCAAGACACCAGCTGAACTCTCTCAGTAATTAGAAAGCAAGCCTGCCCCTTGTCAGTGCAAGTTAATATCAGCTGGTTCAGTCCCAAATGATGGCCAGGTATCACACAAGAACCATCTGATGATGGGTAAAAGTAAAGAGCTCTCTCAAGACCTTCACAACCTTATTGTTGCAAAGCATAATGATGGCATCGGTTACAGAAGAATGTCTAAACTTCTGAAGGTTCCAGTGAGCACTGTTGGGGCCATAATTTAGAAGTGGAAAGAACATTATTTCATCATAAACCGACCACGACCAGGTGCTCCTCACAAGATTTCTGACAGAGGAGTGAAAAGAATTATCAGAAGAGTTGTCCAAGAGCCAAGGACCACTTGTGGAGAGCTTCAGAAAGACTTGGAATTAGCAGGTACGATTGTTTCAAAGAAAACAATAAGTAATGCACTGAACCACCATGGCCTGTATGCACGCTCACCACGCAAGACTCCACTGCTGAAGAAACAGCATGTTGAAGCTCCTTTAAAGTTTGCTGCACAACATTTGGACAAGCCTGTGTAATACTGGGAGAATATAGTCTGGTCAGATGAGACCAACATTGAACTGTTTGGATGCCAGAATACACATCATGTTTGGAGGTCAAATGGCACTGCACATCAGCCCAAAAACACCATACCAACAGTGAAGTTTGGAGGTGGGAACATCATGGTGTGGGGCTGTTTTTCAGCATATGGTACTGGCAAACTTCAAATAATTGAAGGAAGGATGAGTGGAAAAATGTACAGAGACATTCTTGATAAAAATCTGCTTCCATCTACCAGGATGATGAAGATGAAACGTGGCTGGACATTTCAGCAAGACAATGAGCCCAAACACAAAGTCAAGGAAACTCTCAGTTGGTTTCAGAGAAAGAAACTAAAGCTGCTGGAATGGCCCAGCCAATCACCTGACCTGAATCCAACAGAAAATCTGTGGAAAGAACTAAAGATCAGAGTTCATAGAAGAGGTCCATGAAACCTTCAAGATTTGAAGACTGTTTGTGTGGAAGAATGGGCCAAAATCACACCTGAGCAATGCATGCCACTAGTTTCTCCATTCAGGAGGCGTCTTGAAGCTGTCATTGACAACAAAGGCTTTTGTACAAAGTATTAGATAAATTTCAGTAAGCGTGTTCAATACTTTTTCCCTGTGCCATTCCACATTAATACAAATAACTTCATTTCTGGACATTTATGGTTTGATTTCTTTGTATGTATAGATCACTTGGGTTGTTACCAACATCTGGTGAACATTTCATGTCATTAGCACCTCTAGTAATATATTTACTGAGAAAAATGGTGACGTGTTCAATACTTATTTTACCCGCTGTATTGGTATTGGTTTTTATTCTGATAACAAAAGCCCAATAAATTAATGTCTGGATTTGACCAAAATGTGTTATTAAATGCTTGTGGTCCAGAGACRGTCACAGGTGCGCAATTGATGACATCATCAAACTGGATTATCTCAGGGAGAGCATGATCCAAACTATTGTTTGAGACAAAATGTTAAAAATAAATATGGCACTTTTCCCCTAACTCCAGTTAAATTTTTATTTTTGTACAGATAATGTTTACCTATGGAATGCATCCAGTGGGGTGTCAAAAAGCAGGCATAATGTCACTGACAGGAGATATGTGATGTCACCTTTATATCAGTTTGTAATATTGGTTAATATCGGAATTGGAAATTAGGCGTTGAACAATATCGGCAAAAAGTCAATATCGAGGATCTCTACTAAAAAAAGATATATCTTCCTTGTGAACTGTAGATGAGTGTAAACTGTAGGGTCCTGTCCCGTAGATAAGTGTAAACTATAGGGTTATCCTGGCCTGTAGATGAGTGTAAACTGTTGAGTCCTGGCCTGATGATGTTGTTAATCAGGGCCCTAACAATCGTCAGGTTGATGGTGCTGATGATCCTCTGAACAATAGGGATAATCAGAACACAAAAAAAATATGTTGTTAGACTGATGGTCCTCTTTTTKCATGTGAACAAACTGTGTTGATTGTCCTTGTTAAACCTGTTTGTCCACCTTGTGGAGGCACTGCTAATAAAGTGTACTGGAAACGCCTCTGAATGAAATCTCTTGGAGGAGACAAAAAAAGAACCTTTTGTGCTAAGTTCATAAGTTAGGCCTTTATTACAGAAAAGAACCGTTTTTTTTTATAACAAGACAACTGAATATCTCTACAAAACAATGTTTTTTGTATTATGAGATGAATAAACTGTTGAAATAATCTCATGAAAATAAGTTTCAAACGTCCTCTCTTGGCTCCTGTACAACCTGATTAGATAAAATGCATGTTGCAACCAAACAAATGCAAACCTGCTTATGCAAGGGGCCAGTTGAATAGTTGTGTTTAAGAAGTCAGTAAATTTTGTTTTCATGCCTTTTCTTTCAAAATAAAATGRCCAAATTAAAAGAAAACTCAGAGATCTGGGCTGAGAAACGGTTGTCAGAGCTGCAGTTGGCTAGCTTGGAGCTCTGCTCAGTTTTATGTCTTTATGCCCTCTATCAGTGGTGTGAAGTGCTGACAGAGCCTGATGTCCACATGGTCTGAGAGGAAATAACCCTTGACATCATGTCCTGACAAATGTGCACGATGAAATGTACCCGTGGTGCATTTTAATGCATCTCCAGACAGCAGCACAGAGGAACTCCAGGAGCACCACAGAGAGGCTGAATCTGCTCATTACTTTTACACATTTTATCATCTGAAAATTTTAGATTCATTCAGTAGATACTTGAAATTTTTTAAATATAGGACTTTCTTTTTTTAGGTAATTTTCCCTCAAAGGTGGAACTTTTGCCCTGTAATGCTTTGAACCATTGTTACAACCTGCATATCGCAAGTTTTTCATCATTTCCATATCATTATATGGTTAGTATTATATTATATATATTATTTCCATATAATTATATATGTTATTATTATACAGGTACTGGTCATAAAATTAGAACATCATGAAAAAAATGATTTATTTCAGTAATTTCATTCAAAAAGTATAACTACATTCATTCATTACACACAGACTGATATATTTCAAATGTTTATTCATTATTTGAAAAGGTTCAGTACAGGGTTATTATAGTTAACTAAAACTAACTAAATAACAAAAACTGAAATTGAAAATAAAAACACTTTAGTTAACTGAAATAAATAAAACCTGTAATAAAATGAAAAATATATATAACTGAAACTGTGTAATCT